TTAAGCTCACATTTGTCCTCCTGCCTCAGCCTCTCTAGTGCTGAAATTCCAGACACGCCATGGCCAGTTTAAGAAATTTGGAAAGAGAGGCTGCAAGTTAACAAGACACTGGCACAGGATTGGGGAAGGAATTTCTTCTGAGAGCAAGAAGACTGCCTCATATTTAATTATTTATAAGAAGAAGCTAGTACCCAATGAAGTAGAGAGGAAACATAAGTGATAAAATGAGATTCTAGGGAAGTGATCCAGAGGAAAAAAGAATACAGTGATACTATGTGATTACATTTCTTTCTTTCTTAAGAGTAGAAAAAATTTATTGAGGGAAAGAAAGCTTCTAAGAGAGACAGAAGGGGGACTGGAAAATGGGTTGCCCCCTCACCCCACTTTTCAAAGATGCTTTTATAGAAAAGCCTTGAAGTGAGGTAGGTACAAAGTGAGACAAAACTAAAAGACCCAGTGAAAAATTACAAGGTGGGCTTGAGGTGGGGCAAAACTACGACCAACCAATAAGATTACAAGTACAGTCATCCAGGTAATATTGATTAAGTGGGGGTCAAATGGGGGAGTGAGTCACATAGAAACCATACAAGGATTTTCAGTAGGGGTGGGGTTTAGGGATATTTCCTGGAAAGGCTGGGCTAAAACCTTGCCCCCCCCAGCTGATTGAAACCTTTTTACAATATCAGTCACTGCTATTTGTTTTGTTTGTTTTTGGTTTTTTGGGGTTTTTTTGAGACAGGGTCTCACTATGTATTTGAGAATGACCTGGAACTCATATGTAGTTCAGGCTGGTCTCGAACTCATAGCAATCCTCCTACCTCAGCCTCCTGAGTGCTGGGATTACAGGTGTGAGCCACCTTGCCCAGCAAATCACTGCTATTTATCCCCAGGGGAAGCACAAGGGTATAGTAGTTTCTCTCTTTTTACAATTTTGGCCTTCAGTGAATGTGTCTTGATTATCTTCCATGTCGGCTTCTTTCTGTGATTGCTCCTTGAGGGCAGCAGGATCTAATTTCCTACTAGATATCTAATTAACCTACCTATTTGCAATATTGCCCCCTCTGAAGAAGAACCCCTAACTGCTGCGAGGAGGCAAAGGGCAAAAACAGCTCTGGCTACTTCCAGCTGAAGAGGGTTGTAGGTGTGATCAGCTGTTAGAGTTACCTACACTACAGAGGGTCTGTCTAAAGGCCTTCAGTAGGCGCCAGGCATTGTCATCTTGGTAGCTGCATAGCTTTTAAGTCTGTAGGAGACAAAGCCAAAGAAGCAATTAAGAATGCATGGGTCAGATTATAAGGTCAGCAGGATTGCTATGAATATAGCTCACAAAGAGGATAAGGAGAAGTTCCAGGGACTTCAGAATCCAACATAGAAGTCATATTGTATACTTTAGCAGTTATGAGCTGTTTACAAGTTTGATCTGGTGGATCTTGGTAAAAGAAGTCTGGCACATCTGTCATTGGTTCCATTTGTATGACTGGTGCTCACTTTGGCAGCACAGATACCATTTGTGCGGCTGCATGGACTTTGGCAGCCTCTAGGCAAGAATAAATACAACTTTTAAGAAATTAGAGTGTGCATAATCTAAGCAGGAGCACTCGAGAATGAAAGGGCAGGTTGGGGAGAAAGTCACACTTAGAAATTGAAATAGTGATTAAACCTATTGGTCTTAGAAGTCTCTAGTTGTAGCTGTGAGATAAGAGACAGTTTGAAGAACAAATTTCAGTAAAAAATATAAAACTCTAACTGAGCTCTTATAGATTTTACCTTAGTTTTTGTTTGTTTGTTTGTTTGTTGTTTTCAGGCAGCTGGAAACTGCCTGAAGGGGTCAGCGACTGGAGCCCCTATTTTATCTAGCTTTATTACTATGACAGTATTTTATACCTCTTTTGTATTTGGGGGGAGGGCGCTGGGTATTTAAGACTGAGTTAAAGTGAGGACTGTGTCAATCAACATGAACCTCTTGCTATCTATCAAGGTCAGTCAGGTCTCTTCAAACATTATTTTGTAACCATGCACATTGCCTCTCAGCTCCCCTGTCAGTGTCAGCCATCAGGGTGGGTCATGGCCTGGCTTGTCCATGTTGTTTTCAGTGAAAACTTGAGAGACATTTTCCTCATGGTGACCCTCCTTTGGTACACGGCATATTTGTCCTCTGGTGTCCCCAATCTCCCTGCTCAGGGGGTTGAGTGACTTACCAAAGATGTAGCATCCTGTAGGAAGGTTTCCTTTGTGTCCTGGATCTTGTAGACCTGGAGGAGATAGGGCCAAAATATTGGCAGCCCTCTTAGCTTAGTTACCTTTTTAGTCTTGGTCTCTAAACATTCTGGAAGCTTTGTCTTGAATCCAGCATGCAGAGAGGAGGGAAGTGCCCCCATTCAGTAATCTTGGTGGAAGATCTCCAAAATGATACTGGGGGGAGAGAGGTAACTCCCAAACCTGCTAGATATGTGAAACATGAGTTCATTTTTTCTAAAATTCAGTAATGAATTTTAGGAACAATGGAGGTTAAAAGCAGGAAAAAATTTATTGAGGGGAAGAAAGCTTCTGTCTAAGAGAGACAGACAGAAGGGGGACTGGAAAGTGGGTTGCTCCCCCATATGATTACATTTCTAACTGTTCAACATGAACGTTTTCTTCACATCCACTTTCTGGGATCTAGGACCTGAGTTTACTGCTCTTACTTAGGAGAGTCTGTATGGTTTGGTGGCCAAAACATAACCCTGTAACCAATTAATCTAAATTTTATTACCAGTTTGAATAGTGCCTCTCTGTGTAAGATTAAGTGGCTTCACTTGTGTAGCATATAAATATATCGAGAATATTATCTCTTTTATTTAAAGTACTTTCATTTAAAGTATTATTTCTTTTATTTAAAATAAGTGGATAAATTTTATTATAAGAAATTATTCTCTGGATATCATTTTCTTAACTATAGACATTTTTCTTTTTTTGCAAATTTGCATATTTTAATATTAAGGATTTAGAAATCCCCTCCCCTTTTCAATCATAAAACATTTGCATTTGTTCTATTTACATCATGCCCCATGTTGTTATCCAAATGTACCTATAACTTGAGTAATATGGGTTCTTACAATTGCTAGGTAGGGTGCTGTTACAGGTTTTCCATTGTTGAGGAGACCACTTAGGGTGCTTAAATCTTGTTCTTTTGAATGCTATCACAGATTTATGCTTTGTTGCTGTTTATGTGGAGATGTGCAAACACTGGCTTACTCATCTAGAATTCAGAACTAAATATTAAACAATAGAACAAGTAGCTATCCAGCATTTCTAACTTATAAGCCCAGCCATGATTTTTAATGGGACAACCCTTGAAAGACCATTATTCTTCCATACACCTCATTCTGCCTTTTAAAATGGCTATGACCTTTTAGGTCCTTGCCATAACAAGTGTGGGAGAACATATATGAATACAAGAAAATGACCATTACACCCAATATCTGAAAGGAGGAGTATATGCTCTATAAATAGACAATGCTAAACGATGGAAATTAATGATGCACCACTATTGCCATTGAGCTTAATTTAAAGCCAGCAGTTTCTCCCCCAAAGGCCCTATAAAATGACTGTGTAAGGAGAATGCTGAGTGCCCTCACTCACTTCCTTCTTGTGACATTGAACTGGTCCATGGCCCAAGTACCATCAGTGTCACCTAAAGGGACTTTTAGGGATCGTATCGTTGTCGGGCAGGTGTCTCTTTAAGCAGACAACTTTGTCCTTGTCAGGCAGGAATGGAGAGTTTGTAATGGGAAGGAACAACGAGAAAAAAATAAGACTCTTATTATTGAGTTTCTTCATGCTTTCTTGACCTCCTCTCCTGGATACACACATTTTCTCAGGGACAGCACAAGCAACTGAGTAAAAGCAACATCGCAGCTGACTGTAAGTCTATTTGTGATCAGTGCATAACCTCTGTGATGGAATTTGTGGGTAATTCACTTCCCACTTAAGCCTACCAATGTGGGATCGAATGTTGCCACCCTGAACAGTGATGAAGGAAGTCAGACGGCAGTACAGCTTGCCCATGGGGACTCATTTTTCACATCACCAAAAAGTAATTTCTGTCATTTTCTGCCATCTGGAAGCCTGGATTGTGAAGATGAAATTTCATTTGGGAAGTGTTTAAGAGCATGGATCCTGGAGGCAGCTCAATTGGAATCCTTGTTCTGCTTCTCACCTGGCTCCATCTATCCCTCAGAGTCCTAGTAATTAAAATCCTCATAGAATATCTTGTCTTTATTATAAGAAGCTGAGGTGATACTTGTAAAGTACCTTACACTAACCCTGAGGTGTCGTAATTGTATCATCAAAGTTAGCTATTATTAAATTGTTAATAGTGGTGTTGATGGTAGTATTGAGAATAAAAGTAGTGTAGTGTTTTTGCCATATTACTTATCTTAAGGTAGGCCTTATTAATTCAGTGTTTACATTCTAAAGAATGTCATCTGTCCTGTTACAAAAAATGGTCATGTTTAGAGTCTATAGTGACTAACCCAGGAATTCCATATGTGGGCAAATAAGTATTTTATATTACTAACAATGATACAATCTATAATTAAATAATACTTTTTCTTTCCCTGGCAGTTGAAGAGAGGTTGGACACTATTCTTTTTATATACATAAATTTAAGTGACAGTAATAAGAAAAAGTTATTCTTAAACTGTATTTATTTATGTGCTTCCGATTTTTAAATAAAATTTATTCTCATCTGAAAAGAGCTAAGATATTTCATTGCAGGAGTCCAGGTTCTTCTTCCAGCACTTGGGTAACCCTAGCGGGAGTGCTAACTGCTAGTAATGCTTTAGAAGCTCCTAAGAGACTTGGTGAACAGATGACAAGTGTGGGTCTTAAATCTGACTCCTCAACATAAAATTTCAAAGTAATAGAAGTTCACATTTGCCACCTGCAGTCAGAAGGACCAGAGCTGCAAGCCTGCTTTTACTGACCTGGTTATACATTCCATTCGCTTGTCTTTACAGTTCCACCAAAGATCTCCAACATCTCCTCAGATGTCACTGTGAATGAGGGCAGCAATGTCACCCTGGTCTGCATGGCCAATGGCCGCCCTGAACCTGTCATTACCTGGAGACACCTTACACCAACCGGTAAGCAACCCTCCGATTTCAGAGATGCCTCATACCATTTAAGATTCCATCAAATTGGGAGGGCAAGAGTGTATCTTATGAAAATACTAGGAAATTTCCAACAGAGGTTTTATTTATGATCCTCATGGATATTGAAAATGTGTTCATCTTTCTAAAGCTTACAGCCATAGCACTGAATGTGTGTATGTGTGTGTATATATATATGCATGTACATGTATGTGTGTGTATATTTATATTTTTTTCACCTTCAATAGAATACCCTCAAGGCACCAAACATTAGTCTGGTGGTTATGTGTGTTAGGGAAATGTTTTGTGTGAATTAAATTTACATAGTTTTTGTAGATTTGTTTTGCTTTGTTTTTTTGCTGGTTAGTTTCCCAACATGGACCATCTCAAAAAGAAATTAGTTGGGAATCATACAAAATTATTTTGATTTCTAATGCCCTGTCCTTGGTATCTGGTCTTATATTCAAGCAGATATTCTTATTAGAGGCAACTATTTTTTGTGTGAAACTGTCACTCAAGGTCATCTTTATTAATGCATACAACTCATCATTTATTAATAATGTATATAAGCAATGCATGCAGTACTTATTTGGGGGATCAGTCTTAATCTCATTGTGTCATAGACTCATGGGAAATCACATAAAGAGGATTTTCTGAAGTCTGAACCTGAAGATCTCATAACCCTTACTCCTCAAATAAGTTAAACCTTCAGACCCATTCTACTCAGACAGCATATTAGCCCCAAGCCCACCTCACCAACCCCTATCCCAACCTGCAATTGCTTTTAGCTACTGGCAATTTGGAATAAAAGCTCCTAGCTTCTATTTAAACACTATCAAAGACAACTTCTAAAATAATTCTGTGTACTGTAATATTGTCATCTAGATCTTATTGATATTTTACACTATCAATATTTTGGAAATCCTTTGCAAGAAATTCCTCTCTTTTCAGTATCTCTACTGTTCTCTTCCTAAGCAACAGTTATTTTTTTCATAAATTGTTTCAGTGAGTTTTTATAAATGTTTAGAAGTCCTTCATTGGATCAACTATTTGAAAACACAAAGCTAAATTTATGACCCACCTGTAAAAGAATATGTTGTCATGTATAAATTGTATATTAATATAAATGATGTTAGTCAAACTGCATAGGAGTTTATGGCATCAAAGTCAAATACATACTACTCTCCTTTTCTATCTTATTTTCTTATTATATTTCTTTTGTGTTATATTGCATAATTAATTACAAAGTTCCTGTATATATTATTTAAAATCCAGTACCAGGCCTCATCAAGCGAGATCCTCTGGGCCAGATCCAGTCTGTCTTTGTGCACAGCTTGCAAACCAGAATTATTTTATTGGTACATGTTAGGTATACAGTACAGTTACATTCATTATTGGGATCTTGTACCTTTACATGACAGGTCTTGGTTCTCATTTTTCCCCTTTTCCCTACCCTCCCTTCACCGCCTCCTCCCCTCCCCATTTATAAACACTTCATTTCCATTTTTGCATTTTCTCCTATTTTTTTTCTTTTCCCTTATTACCTTTCCCCTACCCTTCCCACTTTCCCTACACCTTTAGCCCCTTTCTTCCTATTTCACATTGTCAATTGTTCTGAAAACAAGAATTATTTTAAGTTGCTAAATGTCTGGAAAATATCAGAAGAAGAATTCTCCTTTTTGATATACAAAAATATGCCTGAAATTTAATTTTTAGAGTATATACATAAAGATTTATTGAAATATAGCCATGCTTATTTGTTTGTGCATTGTCTATGGCTGCACTTGTTCTAAAACAGCAGAGCTTTGTGAGCTTGAACCACAAACTTGAAAATATTTTCCATCTGGTCCTTCAGAGAAAAGTATTCCTGCCTTTGCTCCAGACCATGGCTTAGGACGTGGGGTAAGGATTTGCTGTTCTCACCCAAGGCCCCAGCGGGGTTTCGGGATAGCTTCCATCGAATTTCCGCAGTCATTTTTTCTCCTAGTATGTGTTTCCAATGCATACAGACACATTAATTGTGGGAATTTGTACGCATACCTATCTCATCTGCATCCTTTTTCTTTCCCCTTCACTTCTCTTCTTCCCAACTTACCAATCCCCACCTCCTCTTCCCATCTCCACAGAGCTCATCTCCCTGTTACCTATTATCTTTTACTTTGTTGTTTAATTGGTAGTTATATTTTGAGTTTCTCATATTAGAAGAACCATGTGATACTTAACCTTCCATGTCTGATTTATTTCACTTAGCATTGTGGTCTCCAACTGCTTTCATTTTCCTACAAATGACTCCTACAAATGGAGTAGTACTCCACTGTGTATAAATAACACATTTTCTTTAATCATTCATTTAGGTTGTTCCCAAGATTTAGGTATTATGAGTTATGCTGCTACATGGGTATACATGTATCCTTATAATATGATGTCTTTAACTTTTTCCAGAAGATCCAGAAGTACAGTTGGGTCAAATGGAATTTCTGATTTTAGCTTTTTAAGGAACCTCCATTCTGGTTTTCCCAGTGGTTGTATTAGTACTAGTTTACATTCCCACCAACAACATAGAGATATTCCTTTTTACCCACAAACTTGCCAACCTTTCTTGGTTTTGATTCATTGATAATAGCCATTTTTCTAGAATAAGATGTAATCTCACTGTTGTTTTGATTTGTATTTATCTAACAAAAAAGATGTTGAACATTTTTTCATGCATTTATTTTTACTTCTTTTAGGGAGTATCTATTTATTGTAACTGCCCTTTTTGTGTCTTTTACTTTGGGGGTATCTAATTTTTTCAAGTCTTTACATAGTCTTATTATTAGTCCTGTGTCTAAGGACTAGGTCACAAAACAAATTCTCCTATTTTGTAGGTTGTCTCTCGACTCTGTTGTTTGTTTCCTTTACTGTGCTGAAGCTGTTGAATTTGATGAAACCTCATTCATTGATTCATGATGTTATTTCCTGTGCAACTGAGTTTCTATTCAAAAAGTCCTTGGCAGTACCTATAACTTCAAGAGCTTTACCTATTTTATCTTCCAGCAGATTCAATGTTTCTGTTTTCATACCTAGTCTTTGATGCATTTTGTTTGACTTCAGCACAAAGTGAGAGATACCGGTCTGGATTCATTGTTTTCTGTGTGGATAACCAGTTATACCAGCACCATTTGTTAAACAGGTTGTCTTTACTCCAGGATATGTTTTTGGCCCTTTTGTTGAAGACCAGATGGCTAAAGGTGTCCAAGGATGTTTCTCCATCCTTAGTTCTTTTCCAATGTTTGTTTTTGTGCCAGAACCATGCTATTTTTATCATTCTAAATTTGTGGTATATAGTTTGATGATTAGCATTGTGATGCCTTTTGTTGTATTTGTATCCTCAGAATTTCTTGGGATATTCCTAATCTCTTCTGGTTGTACATAATTTTAGGATTTATTTTCTAGTTCTATGAAGAATGTTGATGGTGCTTTGATTGGAATTACATTAAATCTATGTATCATTTTCAGTAATGTGTCTATTTTGGCAATACTGGTTTTACTTATCCAGGAATGAAGATATCTTTCCATTTTCTAGTGTCCTCTTCAATCTCTTTTCAGAGTACCCTAGGTTTTTGTTATAAAGGTCTTTCACTTTGGTTAGCTTTATTCCTAGGTATTTAATTTTTTAAAGCTACTGTTAATGGGAATGTTTACCTAATTTCTTTCTCAGTCATTCCTTCTTGGTGCTATTGATTTTTCTGTATTGATTTTGTATCCTGGTACCTTGCTGAATTTGTTTAATAGTTCTACAAGTCTTTGGGGGGGGGGATATTTGGTTCTTCCATGAATAGGATCTTGTCGCCTGTGAATAAAGGATAGTTTGACTTCTTTTTCTAATCAAACCCTTTTTCTTTTTTCTTGATGGATTGTGCTAGCTGAAGTTTTGAGTACTATGTTGAACAAGATAAAACATTAACTTTGCTTTTCTACAGTCAACTATCTATGCCCTCTCTGTGAGCCAAATTCTACAGGGGCACATGAGCATCCAGCTCCCTGATGCATTGCAGATCAAAGGTGGAATCCTGTTCTCCCTTACAACAAGTATTAAGTTCCACGCTTACTCTTTCATCTCATTCACATCTGCCCTAAATAACCAATCACCTGATCAAAATCATGTTCCTAGTGACAGAAGAGAGCATTTGCCTTTACTATTCTATAAAGAAAACCAGAATTTTACGTGTGTTTTATCCCTTTCAAAATTTGGAAACAGTGTGAAGCCTTTCAGCCTATCAAACAGCCTTTCTTAGAGACACCCAAGGAAGAGTCCTGCTCCATGTGTGACAGCAAAGCTGCCTGAAACCTGTGGCCATGTGAGAAAAAATAATCCAGCTAGCTTTGTTCAATTATTTATTGTGCTTCTGCAGTATGGTAGAAAGATTGTGCCTTCCACAAGAAATGTACCTGTAATTAGCTCAACCCCACAGGGACATCAAGTGCTGAGAAGGGGAAGATTCCATGTAAGGTTCACAGATGTCTTATTAGCTGTCATTTGAAGAAGAAAGGGAAGAAAGATGAATGGTGCATAAGAGGAGAATATGTTATCTCCTAATTTAGTTCTTCTTTCTTTAAATTTTTGATTGGGCTATTTTGTTTGTTTTTCCATTGGCGCTTGAAATTTCTTTTTCAAGTATACCACAGATGTTTTTAAAGAAAGAAATTAAAACAATGGCAAACTTGATATGCATACAAAATTAAGACACTTCTCTGACTTCAACAGAGAAGATATTAAGGCATTTTATGTATGTCTCTCTTATATTTATAATTTTTAAATCTCTTCTCTTCAGTTACTTTATATAGTCAAGATGATGTGTCACGTACGTGGTTATTAAATGTGACCTATTTTCTCCTTTAATTAAGTTAGATTTTCATAATCCTGTGACACCCAGAGGGCAATCGCACTGTAACATGTATTTTCTATGGAGTGTTTGATCTCCCTTTGGTGAGCAGTGCTGCTCCTGTCTTCA